TTTTGAGGTAGCGTTCCATGATTCATTATCTGCATATAACACCTAGTGCTCATTGCAGTATGTGCCCTCCTTAATACCCATCACCTGGCTAACCCATCCCCCCACCCCCCTCCCCTCTAAAAACCTTGGTTTGTTTCCCGGAGTCCATAGTCTCTCATGGTTCATCTCCCCCTCTGATTCCCCCCCTTCGTTTTTCCCTTCCTTCTCCTAATGTCTTCCATGCTATTCCTTATGTTCCATATATAAGTGAAACCATATAATTGTCTTTCTCTGCTTGACTTATTTCACTTAGCATAATCCCCTCCAGTTCCATCTATGTTGGAACCAAATGGTGGGTATTCATCCCTTCTGATGGCCGAGTAATATTCCTTTTTAAATTTTCTCCCGTGTCTTGCTTTTTCCCAGCTCCAGGCTTTCACACATATCAGTTCCTTTGCTTAGAAATATATGTAGAATAGATCATTCCCCATGCTCACCTCTCCTTCCAGTCTCTTCTTTGAGGACATATTCCCTAACCCCCCCGTCTGGACTGAGATCCACCCATGCCCTTCTATACTGTCCAGAACAACCTCGACTATAGCACGTCTGCTGTATACTTTCAATGCTGCTTTAGCATCTCCGTCCCCACGAGACTGCACGCCCTACAGTTTGGGGGTTTGGTTGTGCCACAGAGAATCAGAGGTCACCTCTGATAAGCAAAGTATAACTGTATGCCCTGGGATGCACCAAGGACAAACTGGCTTTGGACTGTAACAGTTTCCTTCAGAGTCAAGGTCTGAGGGCAGTAACTGTGGCCCTAACAATGAAGGGAATCCATTGTTCTGGATCCTGGGGTTGTCCCCAGTGATGAACAGAGAGGAAGTGGCTAGCCTCCATGGTATCTCTGCACTTGCGCTTTGCAACTGCCACCTTCTGCCCAATGGCACCTCAGAGTTTCTGTCCTCAGAATCATCATTCGGAAAGTGTCCCATTTACCAGCAGTGGAGATTGCTGGAGCCAGACCTGAGCCCGCCCTTGACTATAACCTTGGACCATCACTTAACCTCTCTGACCCTTTATTTCCCATCTGTGAAATGGAGAATAGTAAAACCTGACTTACAGGGTTTTAAATGTCACAGTGAACATTTAAAATGGGGTTGTCATTATCATTACAATGGAGTCACATCATATATACATGAAATTTATGGGAATTCAACTATGTGTGCTTGGCAACAAAAAGAGATAGAAAATGGTATAGTAGGTAATTCAGCTAGTCTTTCCATTTGCTGATATATGTCCCAGAGGGTGGGTGAGGTGGGGGACACCGACTGCTGGGTGCTCCATCACTCTCAGTCCCATGAACCTCTTCCAGTGTGGGTGGAGGTTGTAACTATAACTGGACTTGATTTTTTTAATTGAGATATAATTGATGTATTAGTTTCAGGTGTATAAATATTGATTCCACATTTATATATATTGTGAAATGATCACCAGAAGTCTAGTTAATATCTATCGCCATACATAATTACACATTTTTTTCTTGTGATGAGAAACTTTAAGATCTCCTCTTAGCAACTTTCATGTATTATTAATTATACAGCAGTATTAACTAGAGTCACCATGCTGCACATTACATCCCCATGGCTTCTTTATTTTACAACTAGAACTTTGTACCTTCTGACCACCTTCACCATTTCACCCACTTCCTATGCCCCACCTTGGGTAACCACCAATCTGTTCTTTGCATCTATGAGTCTGGTTCTTGTCTGTTTCTTTGTTCTTCAGATTCCAGATAAGTGAAATCATATGGTATTTGTCTTTCTCTGTCTTAGTTCATTTAGCATGATGCCCTCAAGGTCCATCCATGTTGTCACAAATGACAGGATTTCCTTCTTTTTGTGGCTGAATAATATTCCAGTGTGTGTGTGTGTGTGTGTGTGTGTGTGTGTGTCTACCACATCTTCTTTATCCATTCATCCATCAGTGGACACTTAGGTTGCTTCCCTGTCTTGGCTATTGTAAACAATGCTGCAGTGACCATGGGGGTGCAGATAGCTTTTCGAGTTAGTGTTTTTATTTCCTTTGGATAAATACTCAGAGGTGGAATTACTGGATCATATGATAGTTCTATTTGTAATTTTTTGAGGAGCCTCCATACTGTTTTCCATAGTGGCTGTACTAATTTACATTCCCATTGCCAATGAATGAGGGTTCCCTTTCCTCCACATCTTTGCCGACATATGTTATTTCTTCTTTTGGTACTAGCCATTCTAACAGATGTGAGGTGATACCTCATTGTGGTTTTGATTTGCATTTCCCTGATGATTAGTGATGTTGAGCACGTTTTCATGTGCCTGTTGGCCATTTGTATGTCTTCTTTGTAAAAATGTCTATTCAGACCCTCTGCCCATTTTTTAATTGGATTGTTCGTTTTTTTGCTATTGAGCTTGAGTTCTTTATATATTTTGAATATTAACCTCTTGTCAGTTACATGAATTGCAGATGTTTTCTCCCATTCAGTAGGCTGCCTTTTCATTTTGTTGGTGGTTTCCTTTGCTGTGCAGAAGCTTTTTAGTTTGATGTAGTTTATTTTTGCTTTTGTTGCCTTTGTTTATTTTTGCTGTTGTTGCCTTTGCTTGTGTCAAATCCAGAAAATCAGCACAAGACCTATGTCAAGAGCTTACCACCTATGTTTTCTTCTAGGAGTTTAATGGTTTTGGGTCTTGCACTTCGGTCTTGACTCCATTTTGAGTTAATGTTTGTGTATGATATAAGATAGTGGTCAAGTTTCATTCTTTTATAAGTGGCTGTCCAGTTTTCCTGACATCATTTATGGTGTCCTTTCCCCACTGTATATTCTTTTTTTTTTTTTTTAAAGATTTTATTT